GGGTGTGGGTGTGGGTGGGTGTGGGTGTGAGTGTGGGGTGTGGGTGTAGGTGTGGGTGTGGGTGTGTGGGTGTGGGTGTGGGCGTGGGTGTGGGTGTGGGTGTGGGGTGTGAGTGTGGGGTGTGGGTGTAGGTGTGGGTGTGGGTGTGGGTGTGGGTGTGTGAGTGTGGGTGTGGATGTGAGTATGGGTGTGTGGGTGTGGGTGTGGGTGGGTGGGCGTGGATGTGGGTGTGAATGTGGATAAAAATAAAGCCAGCACTCACACCCACACCCACGACCACACCCACACCCACACCCATTCCCACCCACACCCACACCCGCACCCACACCCACACCCGCACCCACACCCACACCCGACACCCCACACCCACACCCACCCACACCGACACCCCACCCACACCCACACTCCACACCCACACCTACATCCACACCCACAGCCTAACATCTACACTCACACTTACATCCCGGTAGACCGGTATACGACCGATCTAAAGTCTAGACCAGATCGACTGGTTGCGTCTATGTAATAACCAATCTTTTTTATCCCGAGATAAGTCTTTTGATACTTCATAAAAACTGTTTTAAATTTATCTTAGGCTCTGAAGATACTTAATGGACGATGGGGATAAGAATAATAAGAGATAGCATGTAAAATAAACCATGTTAGTCGATTTTTTTCTATTATAATGCTCTCATTTTGCTTTAAAATGCAAGTAAAAATATGTAGGATATAAAAAGTTATATCAAGCAGTTTTCTCTTAATCAATTGATATTATTTGACAATAACATTGATTCTGATGTATAAAACAAATACTTAAACAAAAACAATTGCTAAACGATGGTATTTTACCAGACGATATGTCAGTTCAAAAATTTGATGTTGCCCAAGTATTGAAAAACATTACCCAAACATTGTAACAGTTTTATTTTATCAATAGACTTCCATCCTTTCTTAAATTAGTAAGCTCATTTCAAAAATCAAAACTTTTTAATCACTAATTAGATAAGTGTTGCGTGACCTCTCTTTTTAGAAAGTTTTACAATTATAATGTTATCAAAAGTGTTTTAGTCAAGATGAGAACCTACAGCTCGAAGAAGGAATAGTATCAACACATTCACTCCAAATTGCTTGCTGTCAAGCAAATATCTAGTACATTCACATCCATATCCAATTACGAACAATTCTAATAAAAATTAGAAATTTATTTTTATTGTAAAAGTTTCAAGCACTAACATATGATAATGAAAACAAACGTCATGATAATCGTGAATTCTAATCATCATCAAAATCATCATTTTCATCTCTATCTTGGCAACTTAATTTTTCACATTCTCGAAGATCAATTTCAACATAATTTGAAGTAACTTTATGTACCTTTAATATTATAAAAGCTGAATATGGACCTACTAATACTTCTTTTTCATCTCGGTATTCAGATATGCTTTCAATATTTAATGCCGTTCGAGCATTAATAATTTCATATGTACAAAGAGTCGATAATTTAACAATTTCACCATGTTGTTTTTCACGATGAGTTAAATTGTTTTTTGCAAATTGTTTAGCAACGTTTCGATCTTTAGTCGTTGACATAAATGCTTTATTCATAACTTTTCCTCCAACCGCATACTGTTGCAGATCATCACAAGTCATTGTCATACCACGGTAAACTTTTCCGATATATGATAAACTATTAAATGCTGGATTATTATAGAAGAAATCAATAAAAAATGTTATACCAAAATTTGTACCTTGATCAAAATGTTTTGTTGCTAAATCTTTATTTAATTTAATATAAAAGTCTGATTCAACAGTATAAGCTTTAAGAAGATAAAATGGATCTTTTTCTGCTGTCTCTATAAATACTTTGATACGATCTTTCTCTGTATGAGACATTTCGCTTTTAATATATTTTAAACGATAATTGATATTTTTACTTTGCCATCCAAATCCACTATGACGAAATCGATAGTTACTTGCAAGAGCTTCTACTTCTGCATCACATTTCATCCAATCAATATGACCAGATCCATCATCCGAAAAACGATTAGCTGATTGACGTAAAAATAATTTTTTAATTTCATCCTTTTCGGTTTCATCATACGGTAAACATTTATGTTCATTTGATATTGAACGACTAGCACCTTTCTCTAATAGTAATTTAACTATTTCCGTATGACCATAATAAGATGCAGCATGCAATGCAGTAGAACCATTGGCTTGAATCTGATCGATTTCATCTAAAGTCATAGTTGGTAATTTTTCACGAACTTTATCTATATCTCCATTACGACATGCATAATAAAAATCATTTGTTGTCGATGGTTTGATTTTGGAAGTCATGGATTAATTTCGTGACCAAAATAAAATCTTGACTAAAAAATAATTTATTATGTAGCATAGATTATTCAATGAAGAGTACTGGCGAGCTATACAAAAATATTTTCAAATAACAAAAGTTCAATTCATATCTACTTAAACGTGATAATTCATTTAAGTATTCCCAATGAAAAATATTTCTAAAAATAACGGTTGAAAATGTTTTCTAAAAATTGTAAAGCCCTTTTTTAAGAAAAGAAAACGCTCCGAAAAAAATGCAAAGGTCTAGGGCGCATTCTGTTACTTTTAGAACGCTTTCCACCACTTCTAGAATGCTTTCTCTTCTTGAAAGAAGACAACTTTCTTGATCACACAGCTAATCATTAATGGATGAATCTATAACTCGACGAGCTCGATTTCATGGCGTGCTCAAAATCGTTGTAACTCAAACCGTTATTAAAATCATGCTTTTTCTAAATCAGAACTAGCATTTCCAAAGAACAACTAATCAAAGGTTCTACCATTTCTCATATCAGTTTCCACTTGCTTCACTTCAGATCTTTGCTTTGTGAATCGAAATATGGTTTAATTCCAAAAGAAAGTATTCATCACTTAGAAGAATTCATTCTTTTAATGCTTCTCTAGAAAGTGATCTTATTTCTATGGAATACTATCTGTGCAGTTCCGAAGGAGAATAATTTCTCAATAGAAAAAAAGGCATTCCGTCTTATTGTGGAACGGCAAACAACGAGTTTCTTCAGATTGAGTGTTTCTTCTTGAAAATACACAGATTTTTTATATAGAAAAAAGGTTTCCATACTTTTATGAAACCATTCTGTTCCGTTTTTTTTTCAAAAATATTTTTCATTGCGTTCTGTTTGGAGTGAAATCGACCCTTATTTTCTGGCTTCAGATTCAGAATCGGCAAAGTTTATATCAATTAAATCCCACTTTGTCGTCTTCTTTTGAATATGTATTAAAAAGCTTATTTTCATAAAACCAGACAACTAACATCTGATTATTTCGACAAAAGAGTTGTATGAAGTATTTTTTTGAATAATTTGGCATTTCAATTAAATTATATTCAATTCAAAGTCAGAAATAATTCTCTTGATATACAGAACATAAAACTAACGTTGAGAGAGTAATCAAGAAAGATAATGATCTTACTTAACTTACGAATTGTTTTCTAATAATTATAAAAGAAGAATTAAACAGATACTATGAGTTCTCAAATATTTTCCAAGATACATGAGTTCGTAATAAATGTATTTTCCTACTAATGTAGAGGAATGCTCAGAAAATATGGACTGTAACAAACTATGAGACTTTTTTCAATAGAACTTTACCTTTTTGAATTGATATGAATCTACTGACAAGAAAAATTGTAAATTTATCTAAAGAGTTATATTGAAAAATCTAAAAGAAAAATAATATAAAGAAAGATTGTTAGCACACCATTTTTTAAGCTGAATGGTAGAACTCATGTTAAATAAACTAGAATGCTGAACAGTTATAGAACGACTGTAGTTATTAGAGTCCATAAAGAAGGTTGTGTGTGATAAAGTCTTGTATTATTATGATCTATAATGGAAAGAACCCGAGAATGTAAGCATAGTAGAACTACCATTCATTATTTTCATAGAAAATGTATGAACTTCACAAAGAAAATCCTACAATTAGAGTATATTTAATATACCATCAAGATAAAAAAAAATTTGAATCAAATCAAAGATCTTAATGCTTAGCTAAAAATTTGAAATAAGAATCCCTGATAATATAGATACACTGAGATATTAGAATTAAAAAGCATTTACAGTCTATATCAAACGTGAACAGATTCAAATGTTGACAAGAATTTTATTTTCTTGTTTTATCATGTCTGAATAAAGCTATATAAATGCTTATAATAGTTGAGATAAGTTTTCTTACCAATAAATTTGTTATACTATTTAAAAATTTATTCTTAAAATTTAAGCGACTAAACTATACATTTAGGAATGATCTAAATAGTACCAACGGTTGTTTGTACTAGGGATGATGATCTACACGATCTAAATGTCGACAAAGCAACTGTAAAAGAACTATCATACATTGACTCTGTTAACGAAAGAAATCCGAATATTAAAAGAAAACTTTTTGTTATCGACGAACATTTATGAACTTTGTGTTTACAAGAAAAAAAAATCTTATTACTCCATTCTTTCAAATGGAAAAATGCTATTAGATGAATCATAATTGATAGTTAACTTATAAGCAATTTCTAAGTGATAATAAGTTTTGGAATATTCTATACTAATTCTAAAATAGACTTTATGAAAAAAGTTTCATTATGTAACCCAAATAGTCCTTGTTTCATATAATACAAAATGCGGAAACTTCGGATTTAAATCCGAGAGTTATGTGTACTTCAAAAAGTGAATCATACGAATCAGTCAGCCCAGAATGTCAGAACATCAACATTACATTGGGGAGCCTACCATTTAAAATGTTGATTTCTATTAAGTACTGCCAAACCAATAGGACTTGGGACCGAATACAGCTCAAATTTGAATTCTTTCCCTTGATTTACCCTAAAAAGTTGTTTTTCCTGTAACTTGATTTCTATTGGTCACTGCATAACTAATAGTATTTCGATGGAAGTGCAGTACACATTCAAATTCTCCATCTCTGAAAACCTCGGAGTATCATCACTGTGATCGGAAGATTAAGCTCTATTTGCGGATCAATTAGATCGTGGACCAAAATATAACCTAGTTCTCTTTAATTATCCTTGTCATAGGTAACTCAACCTTCTTGCTTCTTTGTGTTTTATATATCATTTTATAGCTCTTGAAATTCTCTATCGAATGGTATATAATAGTTGGGGTTTTAATTGACTATGATAGGAAAAGTCTTTTACGAAAGTCGCGATGGGTCTATTTTTCCACAGAAAGCTATAGGTAAAATTGAGTATTTTTTCAATAACTCGGGAACGGCTCGGCTGGCCCTTTTCATCTTCGAACTCGACCGAAATATTGTCATGACTAAGCTGTGTAGAAAGTTTCATCACAATCTGACTCTGCTGTCAAAAGTTATCAAGTAAACAGCCAATCGGACGGACGGACACACTAACTATTGTATAGTGTACTCACTTTTTGAGTACACAAAAAGAAAAAAATAATAAATCTTACTAAAACTATTCATAATTTTCATAGAATATTTTCCCTATACATATTATAATTCTTTTATAATATAAAGATTTCGTTTGTTAGTCACTCATGAAATTCGAATGAAATATCTTCTATAGAATAGAATTACATTATAAAAAAATTTCTAATCCAAACTTTTTGTCTTTTCAATTTCATCAAATACTTTCAAAAGTTCCTCATTGAAATTTTTCTGTGTTAAATCAATAGGATTTTTTCCACCAATAACATGTTTTAACCATCCTTGCATTTTATATTTTGCTTCGACAAGAACTGGAATAATTGGACTTGAATGTGTATTGGCATACTCTATTTCAGCCATACAAATTTTCGATGCACGATAAGTTGATGATAAACAAGCTAGAATAGGTTTCTTTTTTGATACTGCTTTTTCTATTAATTCTAATCGATGTTTTCCTTGCTTTTCACTATAAACTCGATAACCTTTTGATGATAAACGATTATAAATCTTATTAGCTAGAATTACATCATTGATAATATTACTATAACTAATTAATACATCATATGGAATTGTTTCATCCCATTCATCAGTTAAATTCAATTGATCCTCATCAGTTGTATCTTTTTTAAATCTTTGTTTATGTTTTTCTTTTTCTGTTTGTTCATAACGTATAGCTGCCTCACTACCTAATCTCCAAATAATAGCATCTGCATTTTGTTTTGATTTTTGCGATGTTCCATTCAATAGTATAAGAAGTTGTTCAATAAATAAATCGTTTGATTTTAATTTTTTACTTGTTGTTGGACCATAAAATGAAAGTTTCCAAATAATGCATACGGCTGATTGTTGTATTCGTTTAAGTATTTCTTTTCTTTGATTATCTAAATGTTTCTCTTCTGTATTAATTACACAAACACATTTTGTCATAACTAAAATGCCTTCTTTTTCTTCTGCTAGACTTTCTGTAAATGCATCATTTCTAACAAAAACTAGAATAAAAAAGATATTTTTTTAATCCTTTTTTTTCTTCGAAAAGAATATTCGTTTTTAGTTTTCACTTACTTTCAATATGTTTTAATAAACGATGTAATTTAATACCTTCATATGAAAGTCTAGGTTCTTTGACGCATTTATCAATATATTCAACACAAGTTTTTGATAGTAAATGTGGTTCATGTACATCATTAAAAGTTTTTAAATCTAACATTATAATTAAAAAATGTGACATAAAATGTATCGTTTTATCTTTAATGAGACGTAATTTTGAGCAAATAGAAAAAATATTTCGATGTTTTAACTTTAATCGTATTTCATCTTCTACTCCTAGATTATATAATAATGTTAATGATTGTCCAATAACTTCATGCTTTGCATTTGCAATAGATCCATTATTATCAAATAATGATTGATCTTCTAATTTCGATAATATTTGATCAATGATTGGTAATGATAAAAGTTCTTTTCTTATAGATCGTATCATTGCAAAATGATTTAACATTTTTATATGATGACTTAATGCTGTCATTTGTGCTGTTTTGATATCGTCGATATTTTCTTTGTCTGAATTAAATTAATTTAATATAAATACTATTCAAATAAAAAACTCTTTCATAAAATATGTTGGTACACAATAAATTAAACATTATTTATATAAGGTGCCCGTAATTCGAATTTCGAGTAAAAATATTTTTTGCTTTCTTTTTAAACCATTCGATAGATCTTGAGCTGCTGATCACGAAAATCTAC